ACTTCTAAATATCTACAAGAGCCCAATTATGATGGGACACTGTGTCACAGCATCCAGTACAGATCTGGAGACAAACGCTACATGTTAGTTGGACCACGGATGAGTATAGGATCTACTATAGTCCCAGGAAGCCATGCCAATACACTAGTGCTGCCTGACAGGAGGGGGACATCTGGAGAGGTAAGAGCTTAAATAATAATAAGAGATTTTGCACACATGGAGCGCTGTGTTATTGATTTGTGTTGAATAGGATGTTTCCCTCATATCACTACTCAGGCATATCATTCACTGAACACTACAAAACCGTTTAAAACAATCTCAACCCTTCTGTAAATACTGATAATAAATTCAATGGTTTTATTTGAAACATTTACTCTGACTTAATTAAGAGAAACAATAATCACAGAAATTCATCACTTTTTAGAGCAGTATATGTCATTTTTCAAAACAATGTATCAAAAGATTTTAGATCTTTGATGCATTTTTGTTTGAAATAAGAAAATATACGTCTACCTTTTCCACACTACCCTCACCATTTGTTTGTTACTGTCAACCCTGATAAACACCAATCATCTATGAAATAGTTCATATCCTTTGATCTGATCGCAGTCAATGTCCAGAAATACTTTTGCTCGAGATAAACTGTTTGATATATTGAGTAAATATTCTTTTAAATCCTGAAATACAAATAAGTTGTTGCTGAATCCTTTGTTCGTGAGAGTAATGTGGATGAGTTAAGAGTTCTATCACCATGGTAGAACGCCTGAATTTGGTCTCTGTCTATGGTGCTGAAAAGTATTTTCTTTTTGTTGTTACGTGAAACATGGCGCACAAACAAATACGAATAGAAGCCTACATTTTGCAAGTCCACTAACTGCACGTAATTTTAACATCTTCAAGTAAGAAGCTCTTCCTATGGTTCATCTGAAGACATTCTGCTCGGATTGTATGTAAATGAAAACCTTAAATAATTAATTTTAAATCTTGATTGTATGTAAGAGCCGCAATGGATTGAGTTTGTTTGTCCCATCATATTGGAGGATGTATATCCTACTTATCTAATGACCTCTGGGTGTCAGTATTAGTCTTCATAGGGAAATCTTACGGTACCGTGTCCCTCCCCTCACAAAGCTTTTGTTTGCTCACTGAAAGGCACAGGACACAGTTGAATCAAGCTCGTCAAACGATGGGATCTTGCTGAATTTTTCACTATGCGACACACTGATGGTTGCATATAGTAAACCATTTTTGCAGTGAAGGGATTTTGTGTGTTTATATTTTGCTGGAAAACGATGGAAGCTAAAGCACAGGCTCGAACAAGGAAATCCACCGGCTTCTCTTTTTATTTGGCTCTACTGTTGTTTGTCGGAAAACGAGCTTTGGCAGAAATAAGGTACTCGATTCCGGAGGAGGTAAAAGACGGAACTGTCGTCGGAAATGCTGCGAAGGATCTTGGCCTTGACATTAATTCTCTGTTTGAAAGACGGTTCCGTGTTGTTTCTGAATCTAAGGAGATGTTTTTTGATGTAAACCAGGATAATGGGGCTCTGTATGTTCATAAGAAAATCGACAGAGAGGAGCTCTGTCAGGGCAGCGGTGCTTGTTTAATAGAGCTAAAGATCCTCGTTGAAAACCCTTTGGAAATGCATTATGTAGTTGTAGAAATAACTGATGTGAATGATCACGCTCCCAGTTTTCCTGAAAAACACCAGATATTTGAAATAGGTGAACAAACCTTGCCAGGAAAGCGGTTTCAGTTGCACCCGGCTCGTGACCCGGATGATGGAATTAATTCGATTCGCACATACACTTTATCGTCAAATGATCACTTCACGATAGATATTCGTCAAAGCGACGAGGATAAAATACCATTTTTAGTGCTGAAAAAGTCACTGGACAGAGAACAAGCGAGCAAACACCTGCTTTTTGTTACAGCTACTGACGGAGGTAAACCTCCGAGATCAGGTGCACTAAACGTTTCCATTATTGTTCTTGATAGTAACGACAATCGCCCTGTATTTAGTCAAGAGATTTACCAAATTGAAATACAAGAAAATGTTCCAGTCGGTACGTCAGTAATAAAAATAAATGCGACGGACCCAGATGAAGGTACTAACGGAGAAATTGAATACAACCTTGGAAAAACTCTGAAGAAAAAAGTCTATGACATCTTTGAATTGGACAAATTAACTGGAGAGATCAGAGTAAAGGGAGAAGTGGACTATGACGAAAACGACGTCTATAAACTTGACATTGAGGCATCCGATAAAGGAACACCTCCACTGACAGGTGAGTGTAGAGTCATTATTAAAATTAAAGACGTCAACGATAATCCACCGGAAATAGAAGTGACGTCACTGTCAGATACCGTGTCAGAAGACTCGAAACCTGGAACTGTTATTTCACTTCTTAGTGTGCGGGACAAAGACTCAAATGTAAATGGAAAAATTGTTTCAAGCATAACCTCTGACGTTCCGTTTCAGTTACAGCCGTCGTACAAAGAGAACACTTATTCAGTTATTACTAAGGATTTATTAGATCGAGAGCAGGTGTCACATTATGAAATAACAATAAAAGCCACTGATTGTGGCGACCCTCCCCTCTCCACCTTTAAAACGCTCAACATTCAAATATCAGATGTAAATGACAACAGTCCACAATTCTCCGAAAACCCATTACAGTTTTATCTGTCAGAAAATAATGTTGCTGGAAAATTGATTTTCTCTGTGAGTGCAACGGACAATGATTTAAATGACAATGCAGCTATTTCATATCATATTGTCAGAGAAGGAAGTAAAAATGATATAATGTCTTTCCTGAATGTAAATCCTGATAATGGACACATCACCGCACTAAAAAGTTTCGACTTTGAAACTGTGAAAACTTTCCAGTTCCACGTTGTCGCGTCAGATTCTGGAACTCCGTCACTGAGCAGCAACGTCACAGTGAACGTGTTCATTCTGGATCAGAACGACAACGCTCCAGTCATCCTGTATCCAGTCAGCTCCAACGGTTCWGCTGAAGGTGTGGAGGAGATTCCCCGCAATGTGAACGCAGGACACTTGGTGACTAAAGTCMGAGCCTATGACGCTGATATAGGATATAACGGCTGGTTACTGTTTTCACTGCAGGAAGTTACTGACCACAGTCTCTTTGGTTTGGACCGCTATACAGGACAGATCAGAACACTTCGCTCATTCACAGAGACAGACGAGGCTGAGCACAAACTGCTCATACTGGTCAAAGACAATGGGAACGTGTCACTCTCAGCAACAGCTACTGTCATTGTCAAAGTTGTGGAGCCCAAAGAAGCTTTTGCAGCTTCTGATGTGAAAAGTTCAACAAAAGCAGATGAGGACAATAATGTGACTTTTTACCTGATGATAACCTTGGGCTCAGTTTCAGCTCTTTTTTTCATCAGTGTCATCGTGCTGATTTCAATGCAGTGCTCAAAGTCCACAGACTTCACTTCTAAATATCTACAAGAGCCCAATTATGATGGGACACTGTGTCACAGCATCCAGTACAGATCTGGAGACAAACGCTACATGTTAGTTGGACCCAGGATGAGTATAGGATCTACTATAGTCCCAGGAAGCCATGCCAATACTCTGGTGCTGCCTGACAGGAGGGGGACATCTGGAGAGGTAAGACCACGTATCTCAATTTAACAAAATGTGTAATGCTTTCACAAACTTATTTTGGATAAAGATAGTATCCTCCTGAGTCAAATGATTTGAGGAACTTAAAATAATCAATGGTTACAGTAAAAGTAACCAAATGTTTTAATGGTCATTGTGCCTGAGGCTTCTAAGAGATTATATTGCTGTCTGGCGTGTACTTGTGATACTCTTCACTCAATGGTCATTTTCAGTTTGACATTTGAGTAGCAGTTGGAACATTTTTAGGCTTCTCTTCAGAGGGATTCATGAAAAGTTAATGGCACTTTCCGCAGCGCTGTCCATGGTTCTGACACGGCGTCACTCTTGGTCACATTTTAAACTCAGGATTTTATTGTCTTTTTAAAGTTGTATGTATTTATATCTTGGATTCTTATGGATGTAAAGAATTTACCTAGTGGTCTGTGTTTCAGCCCATTTTCTACAAATCACTGCGTATTACTTTCGCATCCGTCTTTTAAGAATCTGGTTGTATTTCCAGGATTCCAGTGGTTCAATTAAACTGACCCCACTCTCTTTGGTTTGAGCTACTACAGATGTTCTAACCTTCATTCTCTTCATATTGCAAATTATTTAGGGTCATTAAGTCTGTAAATCCCTACATACTGGCGTCTGGTCTTAATTATTTTGGTCACGCTGTGGTGACGTCTACATTTGGTTTTATTTTATCAGCTAGAACAGAGAGCAAACTTCGTTTAATTTTATCGATTGAATGGTTTGTTAAGATTTGGGACATAACAGCACCTACGGTGTTGTGTACCCGATGATGATGAATGTTGATCCTAAGTATATTTGGATGTGTGAGACTAAATTTGACGCTTTCTGTTCTGTGGAATCGTTTTTCTCCGCTTTATAGTGAATGTACACGTACATAATCCACTGGGTGTCAGTGTTACAGTACGGCATTGCAGAGGCTTCATTAATAGACTCTGCCCCTTTCAAAGACAGGTTTTTGTCTGCTCGGTCACAAAGGATGCCACATATTCGGATATTTTCCTTCCATCGTGCACAGGCTTTTCTGAAACGTAATCTCAGGACGGCTGGGGTGTTTTAAGAGACGATATTCGAGGATAATATTCTAAATGAATTACGCCAAAGGAGAGGAAGGATAAAGAGGCAGAATGATTTCTTGGTCGCGTCCCCTGCTTTTCTCTCTGCTGTTTTGCTTTGGCGAGCTGATCTTCGCCCAGATAAAATACTCGACACCGGAGGAGGTCAAAGTGGGAGCTGTTGTTGGAAACGTGGCCAAAGATTTGGGCCTGGACGTCAGCACCTTGATTAACAGACGATTCCGTATCGTGTCTGGAGCTCAGGACGCGCTGTTTGAGGTAAACCCGAACAATGGGGTTCTGTATGTTCACAAGAATCTCGACCGAGAACAGCTGTGCGATAGAAACGCTGCCTGTTCGATAGATGTGAAAATCGTTATTGAAAATCCGCTGGAAATTCATTATGTCACAGTGGAAATAACGGATGCAAACGACCATGCGCCGAGTTTTACCGAGAAAGAAAAGGTAATTGAAATAGCAGAGACGACGTTAACAGGGGCCCGGTTTCAGTTACCGGGCGCACGTGATCCTGATGTGGGAATTAATTCTGTGCAGCGTTATAAACTCAGTCAGAACGATGATTTTCATCTGGAAATTCGAGATAGGGGAGAAAATAAAATCCCATTCTTAGTGTTACAGAGAAACTTGGACAGAGAGCAGAAAACAAACCACAGCTTGGTTTTAACCGCTATAGATGGAGGGACACCAGCAAAATCTGCATTTCTTAATCTCACCATAAAGGTTCTTGACATAAATGATAATAGGCCAATTTTTTCGAAAGAGGTTTACTCTGTGATGTTACAGGAAAATGTTGCTTTGGGTACAGTTGTAATAAAAGTACAAGCGACTGATCTAGATGAAGGAACTAATGGGTATGTGGAATATGCCTTCGGTGGTGATATTAATTCTAAGGTGTTGGAGCTGTTTAGCCTCGATAGAAACACAGGTGAAATACGAGTTAAAGGAAACATCAACTTTGAGACAGCTGATGTTTTCAAGTTAGACGTCCAAGCCTCTGATAAAGGTCAGCCACCGATGACAACAGACTGTAATGTTCTAATAAAGATTCAAGATGTGAATGACAATAAACCAGGGATAGAGGTGACGTCAATATCCAACATGGTCCCAGAAGATTCAAAACATGGGACCGTGATTTCCCTCATCAGTGTCACAGACCTTGATTCTGGCCTGAATGGAAAAGTCATATGCAGTCTGACAGGGAATGTGCCATTTGAATTAAAACCATCTTTTAAAGAAAACATGTATTCATTAGTGACAAAAGAAATGCTAGACAGAGAAACTGTGTCACATTATGACATAACAATAACAGCTACTGACTGTGGAGAACCTCCGCTTTCCACGTTCAAAACTTTGAATATTGAAGTTTCAGATGTCAATGATAACGCTCCACAGTTCCCACACAGTCCCCAGGCGTTATATCTGATGGAAAACAATGCACCTGGCGCATTGATATTTTCTGTGAGTGCATTTGATAAAGACTTAAACGACAATGCAGCAGTGTCCTATCAAATTGGAAGGGGGGGTGTCCATAATGATATGGCCTCTTTTCTGAATATAAATTCCGATAATGGACAAATTTCCGCACTGAAAAGTTTCGACTTTGAAACTGTGAAAACTTTCAAGTTCCACGTTGTTGCATCAGATTTTGGAACTCCATCACTGAGCAGCAACGTCACAGTGAACGTGTTCATTCTGGATCAGAACGACAACGCTCCAGTCATCCTGTATCCAGTCAGCTCCAACGGTTCTGC